ACCGTTTTGACGTCTCCCTGGAGCGTGAAGTGCCCTGTGATGACAGCCCAACAGCACTTGAAAACTAGAAAAGTGAAATCTGGTCGCCGGCTGTCATGTCTAGTGGGGCAGTACAGGCACTTGCAGTGCCGCTACCGTCGGTGGCTGTGGAAAGAGTCCATCCTTTCCGAAACAGCCAAGCAAATATGGCATGCCGCTCTAGCAAGACCATCTTGCGCAGCTCAACAACCTTCTTCTGCAATAGAGACGTACTGGTGATAAATTCTGAAGGCTTTCCACATCAGGGCTGCTCTGATGGTTCTAACAAATAATTATGCATTTTATTATACCTGTAATTTTGTATTTATTCATTGTTTTCTCAGCCTCGTAACTGTGGGAACTGAAATCTTAAAAAGGCAAATTCCAGTGTTTTAGTCTTTTGAATTAGGCTTGTAATTTTGTTCTTGTCAATGAACAGGAAAACAGGTCTGATTTGTCGATTTAAGGATAGTTACTTTGTCTGTTTTGACCTGAGATGCTGACAGTTTTAAAGCTTTAACTTTTTGAATCTTAACACTCTCGTTCAGTGATTGTCGGAGCTCCTACCCCTCATGTTTGACAGATGTGAACATTTACATGGATAACGTTTTAAAAGATGCCTAAAACCCATAACTTCGCACAGCCGAGAAAATGTAAGATGGTAAAAATTTTGAATATCTTAAAAATCAACATTTCCAAGCAAACTACAGGTTGGACTGCCCTGGTCTGGCCCCCTCCGCCGGAGATGATTGACAGCTAGATATAGATATAGACATCTGCCTGTCCTACTCCTCGAATCATTGGGAATGTCTGGTACCAGTGCACTCCCCTGGCTGGGAATCTGTGCTCATCCTCTCACCCCGCCGGGCCTCTGCCTCGGGAGCCCGCTGGCCAGCTCGGGAGTTAGAGCTTTCCCAGTGCCGATGGCACTCAGTCGGCACCGAGTGGCGTGCTCGTTGTTTGAATGAGATCGGTGCGGGGGGGGGTGAGCTGAGGCCGAGGTGCTGTTGGTACGTGGCAGGAGGGACAACTGGGAGAGCTGGCCAGAGCAGCTCTGCACCTGCCACTTGTCCCACAGGTTCACAGTTTGGGGGTCAGGTTAGATCCTCAGGTGCCGGCGGGTAGGAAGGTGGCATCTGCGCTCAGGGCTCGTTTTTTATCTGGGCCTGGTCACGGCAGCCTTGTCTTTGGCTGCAGGGACCTTGCAACCTTGATCCAGGCCTCCAGAGTCAGCAGCGCGCTCTGCTCGCCAGAAGCTGGGAACGGGGGACGGGAGGGATCACGGGAGGATTCCCTGGTCTGTTTGCTCCCTCGGTGGCGCTTGGCTGGATGGGCCTGTGGTCTGCCCCCATCTGGCCGCTCTGATGTTCTTGAGCCCAGCCAGAAGCTTAAACTGGTGTAAACTCTGCCCACCCATCTGTTCAGCAGCAAGTGCCTTCACTGCCATTTACGTCCGCTGCGCTGGAGTCCACGCTGCCCATTTCACCGGTCTAACGCTGGCTGTAGGAGAGGCCCGGCCTGCTCCCGGTGGGGCTGAGTTGCTATTGGGGTCAGGAGCGATGCTCAAGGCAGGAACCCCCTAAATCTAAAACAGGGGGCTGGGAGCAGGAGCTGTCATGCGGGAATTCACGTCCACCCTGATCCAGCACTGCCAGGGTCAGTCGGCCTTTTGTGCATTATTCCCTAGGGCGGGGCTGGGAACCTTTCTTGGGCCGGAGCCGCTGACCCACAGAAAAATCAGTCGGGGGCCTCACACAAGTGAGAAGCAAAAACCCCAAATCCCCTCATTGACATGGCTGAGAAGGGGAAAGATTTTCCCCACATTTCCCTCACACCAGAGCCTGGGGGGCCCAGCCTAGCACATTTTGTGTGCTCCAGCCCCATGGGAGGATAACGGGGGGGCTGGAGCACCAGTGCAGGCTCCCCAATGCTTGGGGGGAGCCCTGAGCCTTAGGGGCCGGATCTTAGGTTCCCCACCCCTGCCCTCGGGCATGCGCTGAGGGATACAGTGTACCATGTACAAGGGCTTTGCTGCTCTTTGGTTGGGGCGGCTGCTGTTCTCAGAGCTGAGTTGTTACATTTTTGGATCTTCACTGTTCGCCTGTCGTAAGTACCTGTGAGAACGCCAAGGCTGGCTGGGGTGGGAGCTGGAAAGTGACCCGAAGAGATGAGATGACGTGCCGTTTCCATCAGTCGCTGGCCGGGGTGGCCGCGCGAACACCATGCTGGTGTCAGGAAGGGGATTAGCGCGCTGTTTAATTGTTAAAGCGCTGACAGGGCTGACAGTTTGAGCAAGCGACTCCAGTATTCTCCCTGTCAGCTCCGAAGGCTCTGGCTCTTGTTTCTTGTCAGATTCCTGAAGCACAGGCTGGGGTTTCCGACTGACAGGATGCTCCCGGGCGGGGGCTCTGATTTTGGAGCTGACAAGTGAAAATCTCTGGAAGCTGCTGTCATGTGGGGGCTCGGCAGAATCCACGTCTCTCTAGTTAAAACAGACAAATATGCCCAAGTAATCAGAGGGCAAGAAATGCCCCCCGGGTGGGGCTAACGGGGGCTGAGCGATCTGTGTGTCTGCTCTGCACCAGCATGTGTGTGCACCTCTGCATGGCCACACCTTTCCTCAGAGACACTCGCCCACAGGACAACGTGGGGTGGCCACCCCAGGGCCTGCAGCAGCCGCCTGTCGAGGGGCACCTGCCCTCAACTTGTTGCTTTCATATCCTGGGACCTGCACAGCCACACAGCACTGCATGCTGGGAATGGGACAGCATTACCCACATCCATGCCCCGCAATACGTAACCAACGTCTGGTTCCTGAGCACAGCTGCTCCAGTACACACACGCACACACACGTGCACACACAAATCCACACACAAATGTGCACACACGTGCGCACACAGATGCACGTACACGCACGTGCACGCTCACTGGGAAAGTCATTCCAATGGCAGTAGGTCTGTGGCGATCTCAGCACAGCTCTCCGGCTGCCCCACAGCGTGTGAGAACACAAGCAGGGAGGCTGCTGTTCTCTCTGTTCTGTATTTTACACTAGCGCCAGTGTGCGTGCACAGGCACCCCCCCCTGCTTTGCCATCCCCCCACGGGCCCGCCTGGCGCACGCCCCCCCGTCCCCGAATGGCACCTGGACCCGCCCACACTCATCTGAGTGCCCACCACCGGCGTGTCGCACCCGGCCGTGCAGAAGTGCAGGATGGGCCCGCTTCCCTGGGCAGCACGGGGCAAAAGGGAGTTTTCCTTGGGGTGGTTTGCCTCTGCCCTTGAGAACAAAGGGGTTTCCATGGGAATTGACCATTATAGGCCCAAGGCGGCGGCTGGTCCCGTGGCAGAGGGCACCCATTGCAGCTAGACTTTCTCCACAAAAGGGACGAGTGTTGCCTGGGGGCACGGGAGCGGCAGAACCGCCGTTAACTCACCAAAGCTCTGCAGAGCTCAGAACCCTTCCCACCCCGGCCCGCCCTGAGCGCGGTCTCAGAGCCCCCCAACGCACCATTTCCCTGCCTGTGGCCGCTGGGATTCGGCCCCCTAAGGAGCCAGGGTCACTCCGGTGTCATCCAGGCTGTGCAAGGGAACCTCAACCAGCCGCGCGGCCCATGTCCGCCTTACCGCTCGTTCTCTTAAACAGCCAACAGCCTCCAGAAAGCTGCTTTGTTGGAAACTTCCCCCGACAGTCCTACGTTTCCTCTGGTCTCACCTGTGGCCAGGCACAGTGCGGCTTCCAAACCGCAGCCGGGACTGAGAGGAAGGAACGGTGGCAGCTTAAGTGCTGTCCCGGCACGTCGAAATGTGGGAGGGCAGCGTGGTGCTGGGCGGGGCTGGCTGATCTGGAGCGGCCGGGCGCTCCTGCCACAAGCTCCTTTGGGACCCTGGTTCTAGCTGGTTGAGTTTGCATCCAATTCCCAGCGTCACCGCTTACTTCCCCAGCCCACACGCTGCTGCAGCTAAGCCCCGGTTGCAGGAGCAGAACTCCATGCAGCCGACATGGGAATCCTTCCCAGTGCAAGTCTGAGCTGGGCCCTGGCTGAGCCGCGCGAGGGAAGTGGGAGCTTGCCTTGCCTTGCGCTGCGAGGAGATGAGGCCCTACCCCAGGGCCAGCTAGAGAAGGGGCCACATGTCGGCTCGTGTTGTGCTAAGCAAACGGGAGGAAGGTGCAATTCCAGCCTGCAGTTTGTGATGTGAAACGTGAAGAGCAGCGGCATCGCATGAGCCTTTAGCGCAGCTAAGAGCCTTTTCCCAGGGCTTCGGTCTCTGTTCTGGGATCTAAACGAACACGACGAATGTAGCTTTCAGTGCTTCTTAGCTCTGCCACAAGCAGCTTGGCCGGGAGGGTGGAAGCAGAGGCTCTGCGGAGTTTTGCTCCTGCTGGCTTCATTGGGAAAAGCTCAGGTGCTTTCTCCTTCGGGTTGAAAGCCCAGGTCAGATGTGTGCCGGGGGCATTCTGGGGGGAACGCCGTTGTGGCAGCCTCTCCGTCAGCCTCGCCTAGGGTTGCCTGATACTTTCACAACAAATCCCAAACAGGCCTGGGAAAATTAGTTGAGGGGAAAGAAAAAGGGGGGAGGCCAAACTTGTTAAGCAAAAAAAAGAAAAGATGCTGCTGTGCCTTTAAATTACCACGCTCCTCACTCCCCCCGCCCTCGCAGACGCTACCAGCCATCTTTTTGAGGGAAAAAAAAGGCCACTGCGCCTTTAAATTACCACGCTTCTTGCTCCCGCTGCCCTCACAGACACTGCCGGCCTTCCGTCTGAGGAAAACAGAAAATACCGGAAATTTGACGTGTCTGATATTCTCTGCTTTTTCTTTTACTGAACTGAAGGTCAAAATACCGAACTGTTTGGGCGAAAACCAGACCCCTGGCAACCCTAGCCACTTGATTAACGCGCCCGATTCCCAGGGCTCCTTGCGGCTCTCCTTGGGGTGCTGCTTTCTGACCGGCTCGTCTTCTCTCCTGGCTCCTCTCTCCCAGGTTATGAAGCTGAGGAAGTTGGCCCAGCAGGTCGCTAACTGCCGGCAGTGTCTGGAGCCCTCCACAGTTCTCATCAATCAAGCGGAGCATATTCTGAAGGAGAACGACCACGCCCGGTTCCTGCAGACCGCCAGGAACGTGGCCGAGAGGTGGGCTCGCTGGGCGGTACCCGCCTGCAGACGGGTTGGGATCCACTGGGGGAAGTGGTGCGTGGGATTTTGTGAGTGGCAATAAAAAGAGCTGTCTCTGCAGTGCTGGGCATGGACCCGTAGCCTTTGGAAGCTCATGCGTCTTGGGAGACTTTTCCCTGGTCCCTGAGTCTCAACCACAGGCGTGGTGCTCGGTGCTCCCTGCCACTCCAGGGGTGGTCGGAGGAGAAGGGACCTGCTTTAATTCATTGTAAATCTTGACTGCCAAAGAGGACCCTTGTCAAGTAGCCAAGTGCTTCCCAATGGTCCAGCATCAGCCACCAGCAAACTGTGCACTGGTAACAGGAGTTGGAGGCTGTCTGGTGAGAGTAGTAGGCGAAACACTGAAAGATCGGTGGTCCTAGGTTCATCGGTTGAATAATTACTGGCGTGGCTCTCTCCCTTTCAGTTCCACGGGTGGTGGTGGGGCGGTGTCAGCCGTCCACAAACACAAAAGCCACTGGTGCATGGGCTAATGATTGAGGTTCTCTCACCAGGGCTGCCAGTCAACTCGTATCCTCTGTGGACTGGCCACAGCAAGGAACTTGTAACGTACACTCACCAGCGGGTGTAGGCAGGGCTCCAGGAGATTACTGGGTGAGCAGATCCAGCCCTGTTTAGAGCTGACCTAGCACAACTCAGTGGTGAACACATCGGGGGTGCGGGCACCCTAAGTCGCACCATTACAGCCAGCAGCGGGGACGCAGCTGTGGGAATTAGAAGTGTCCTAGTGCGGGCAAGACCTGTAAGAACCCTCCCTCTGCATCTCGTGAGGCCCACCCACTCTGGAATCGCGACTGTCCAGCTGGGACAAGGGGAGGCAGCCGTAAGGGAAGTAAGGGTGGAGTGCGAATGGGAGCCCACTATTCCTTGCAAGAACAGGCAGCGCTGTTGCCTCTGCAGCCTCATCTACCCAGCGTAAAGTGGTGGGGGTGGGAATTCATCTGTCACTCCCAGCAACAAAAGCAGGCAAAGCCACCGGTCCCTCCCCCGCGGATGGCTGCTCGGGCCCCTCAGAGAAGCCTGCTTTGGGTGGTGTATTTTCTCCTGGCGCGCTGCATCACTGCAAGGCCATTTGTGCCTTTTCAGTTGGCAATCTAACTGCCAGCCGGGCTGTCCAAACACACGCTAATGTATATTGATGCTCCTCTTTCTTTCAGGGTCGCCATGGCAACTGCATCCTCTCAGGTGCTGATACCAGATATCAATTTTAACGATGCCTTTGAAAACTTTGCTTTAGACTTTTCCAGAGAAAAGAAGCTGCTGGAGGGGCTGGATTATCTAACAGGTGTGTGCCCATCCCGTGTTCCCAACGCATGCGGTCGCCTTTTCTCTCCCCGGAGAGGGGCGGGGAGTGTTTCATATAAAAGGCGTCAGAGGTTGTTCTCGTCCTTGTGGCTGCAGCTGGCCTTGGTGCTGGAGTGGCCCAGCACCGGGGCTTGGGCTTGTGGGGTTCAGGTGTCGTCTTAGGGTGACTGTTTCAGAAATTGGTTACAGTTCTCTGCCCTTTCTGCGAAGGCTCTGAGTCACGCGCTCCCCCCCCGGCTCGAGTACAGAATCCACGTTCTCCTCCAACCCTTCCCCGCACCCATGTCCTCTGTGCCCTGCCAGCGGCTCTGCCCACCTTCCCTTCCACGCGTGGACCCCGCCACCACATGGCAGATCCGTCCCCCGGCTCCCCAGTCTCCACCCATCCCGGCGCCGTGTCTGGCTTCCAAGGCCCTTCACAGCCCTGACCCTTCTCCTCGCATTGGCTGCTCTCTCCCGCTTCCCCTTTCTCCTCTGCTCCACCGACGTCCACTGCCGACGTCCACTGCCGTGCTGAATGCTGGGAAACTGCCCCCGCGGCCTCTTCCTTCAAATGCCACCTCCTGGCGCAGCCCGTGACAGCGAGGTGCAGGGAGGGGGCCAGTATGTTTTGGTGCAGCTGAAAAAATGAATGTGTCATATATTCTAGTGCTTCCTCTTCGCTGCCCTTTGTGTCGTGAGGCAAGCCCTTTGGACAGGGATCCTGCTTTCTGTTCAGCCCGCACACACCCGATCTGGTCTCTGACCCCGGTGCGACGGTAACGCAGGTCGAACCTCTCTAATCTGGCTCCCTCCGGACCTGACCGGTGCCGAGCCAGAGAATTTGCCAGACCATGGGAGGTCACTATTGTCTAGCAGGTGCAGCATCCCCAGCACTGCCCCTGCTTGCTGGGCTCTTAGAAGACATTGAGGGGTAAATTAGAGTAAATAACAGCACAGCACCGAGAGCCAGGACTGGGGGCTGTATAGAAACTTTATGGGACCACAGAAAATCTGGTCATGCCCATGATGAGTGGAGACCCGGCTAACTAACATCATGCCAGACCAGAGAGTGCTGGACTAGAGAGGTTCAACCTGTATTAGCAAGCCAATAGCAACTGAAGGCTGCAGTCCTGATGTGCAGTCTTCATGTCCTTTTTGACAGAGGTTTTTGTCTCCAGTTGAAGTCAGGAAGTGGGGGGGAACTCCCATGGAGTGTATGGGCCTCCAGAAGGCAGACCCTCAAGGTGCTTGCAGAAAAGGGTAGTCCTGCTATGGCCACACGGCAGTGTTGAGCGTGCTAGTTCTGCTCAAACGTCAGGGGACAGCTAGCTGGGCTGCGAATGACTTCCCCCAGCCACAGTGCAGACACCCTGGGTCTCTTTGCTAGGCTAGTGACCGCTGCTGAGGAGAGCAGCAGAGAAACTAGCTGGCCTGTGAGTCCATCTGCCAGACCCCCCACGTTCCCAAGCAGAGGACAGAGGAGGAGGAACAGCTGTGTCCACAACGTCTGTCAGATGAAAGAGTTGTTAAAAATCAACGCCGCCCGCCTGCCCGCGGGGCTTTAATTAGCTCCCTAAGCCTTCAAATGCCCACATTAATAATGGATCCCTGAGCCCGGCTGATGCCCTGGCCCTTGCAGGAGTCTCCGTTTTCCCAGGGCAGTAACTCAGCCACACAGCACTGGTTTTTCCTGCGCAGTGTCTGTGCTCCCCCCGCGCCCAGACCGTTCCTTTACGAGGTGTCACCTGCAGATGTAAAACCCCTTATTGTCTCTGCATTGTCATGTCGCCCATGCAGCACCCAATCCGCCGTCTGTCCGAGAGGAGCTCTGCACGGCTTCCCACGACACCATCACCGTCCACTGGCTCTCGGAGGACGAGTTCAGCGTCAGCTCCTATGAGCTGCAGTACACCATCTTCACCGGCCAGGCCAACTTCATCAGTGAGTAGCCCGTTGCTTGCAGTGGCTGCAGTGTTTCAGGGAAGAAAGGAAAGAGGGCATCGCTAGGGCCTGCAGTCCAGTTGGGCAGAAAGATGCCTTAGGTCCCTTAGGTCAACATCAGGAAGGGTTTGAGGGCTAGGAAAAGTTATTGACTTGTTCCCAGAACACAAGAACTAAGAATCACCAAATAAAATGAATAGGCAGCGGTTTTTTTCACGCAGCACACATCAACCTGTGGAACTCCTTGCCAGAGGATGTTGAGAAGGCCAGGTCTTTAACAGGGTTCAAAAAAGATCTAGATAAATTCACGGAGGATAGGTCCATTAATGGCTCTTAGCCAGGAGGGGCAGGGCTGGCGTCCCTAGCCCCTGTGTGTCAGAAGCTGGGAATGGGTGACAGGGAGGGATCACTTGATGATTCCCTGTTCTGTTCCCTCCCTCTGGGGCACTTGGCACTGGCCTGTCGGCAGACGGATACTGAGCGAGACGGACCTTTGGTCTGACCCGGTGTGGCTGTGCTAATGTTCTTATTACGCCACTGTGTTGGCTATCGAAGTGCAGCGAGAGAACAGATGTTCCTTTGCCCTCACTCCCACCGTAAGGCCCCAGGACGTGTGCAGTCCATTGTGCTGAGACTTGATCGTTCCCTGCTCCCTCTGCCCCTTTCCCCTGTGGCTAGTGATTAGAAGCCTCGGGAGCTTCCGGGGCTGTCCATTAGCAGGCTGGCTTGACCAGGAGAGGCGAGAGTTCTGTGAGAAGAGCTTCGCCGAGGGCGCGTCTCAGGGCAGTAATCCAACGATTAAGGAGCGGAGAGGAACTCTGAAGGGCAGGTTTTCAACTTTATGCTGGGGGGTCCTGCATGGAATTGTTTGTGCTGCACTGAGTGTTCCACATTCACTGAAGCATCCTCCACACTCACAAATTGAATCTGTCTGGTGGCTGGTCATTTGGGAAGCTCCCAAGAGGTGTGTGCATAGCAACACACTTGCATAATTCCCTAGGATTATACAAATAGGGCACAGCTATGCTCAGGGAGCTGCAGGCTAAACATGAAATTTGCTTTATTTACTCCCCCACGCCAGGAGAAGTCTCCAGGTAATTCTTTCAGAAGATGCCTGTCTTATCTAATTACTTGTCAACCCCACTACACCTTTGCTTGCCTGGGGTAAGATTCAACGACTAACAAACAACTAACAAAAACAAAATCATCCGAAGCGCAGGATTTGGCAGTGATGGGGGACTTCAGCTATCCAGACATATGTTGGGAAACTAACCCAGCGGGGCACAGACTATCCAATAAGTTCTTGGACTGCATTGAAGACAACTTTTTTATTTCAGAAGGTTGAAAAAGCTACGAGGGGGGAAGATGTTCTAGACTTGATTTTAACAAATCGAGAGGAACTGGTTGAGAATTTGAAAGCAAAAGGCAGCTTGGGTGAAAGTGATCACAAAATGATAGAGTTCATAATTCTAAGGAATGGTGGAAGGGAGAACAGCAAAATAGAGACACTGGATTTCAGGAACGCAGATTTTGGTAAGCTCAGAGAGCTAGTAGGTAAGGTCCCATGGGAAGCAAGACTAAGGGGAAAAATAACTAAGGAGAGGTGGCAGTTTTTCAAAGGGACTTTATTAAGGGCCCAAAAGCAAGCTATTCCACTGCGTAGGAAAGATAGAAAGTATGGCAAAAGACCGCCTTGGCTTAACCGGGAGATCTTGCATGATCTAAAAATAAAAAGGAGTCATATAAAAAGTAGAAACTAGAACAAATTACCAAGGATGAATATAAGTGAACAATACAGGTATGCAGGGGCAAGATTAGAAAGGCAAAGGCACAAAACAAGCTAAAACTAGCTACAGACATAAAGGGAAACAAGAAGATATTTTATAAATATATTAGAAGCAAGAGGAAGACCAAGGACAGAGTAGACCCACTGCTCAGTGAGGAGGGAGAAACAGTAACAGGAAACTTGGAAATGGCAGAGGTTCTTAATGACTTCATTTTGATTTTTACCAAGAAGTCTGATGATGAAGAAATGCCGGACATAGTGACTGCTAGTGGGAAAGAGGTAGGTTTAGAAGATAAAATTAAAAAAGAACAAGTTAAAAATCACGTAGAAAAGTTAGCGGTCTGCAAGTCACCAGGGCCTGATGAAATGCATCCTAGAATACTCAAGGAGCTGATAGAGGAGGTATCTGAGTTTTTAGCTATCATCTTTGAAAAATCATGGAAGACAGGAGAGATTCCAAAAGACTGGACAAGGGCAAATATAGTGCCCATCTATAAAAAGGGAAATAAGAACAACCCAGGAAATTACAGACCAGTCAGTTTAACCTCTGTGCCAGGAAAGATAATGGAGCAAGTACTTAAGGAATTCATCTGCAAACACCTGGAAGGTAATAACGTGATAGGTAACAACCAGCATGGATTTGTGAAGAACAAATCATGTCAAACCAATCTGATAGCTTTCTTTGATAGGATAACAAGTCTTGTGGATAAGGGAGAAGCGATGGACATGGTATACCTAGACTTTAGTAAGGCATTTGATACAGTCTCATAGGAGCTTCTTATCAATAAACTAGGCAAATACGACTTAGATGGGGCTACTATAAGGTGGGTGCATAACTGGCTGGATAACCATACTCAGAGAGTAGTTAACAGTTCTCAATGCTGCTGGAAGGGTATAACAAGTGAGGTTCCGCAGGGATCTGTTTTGGGACTGGTTCTGTTCAATATCTTCAGCAACGATTTAGATATTGGCATAGAGAGCACACTTATTAAGTTTGCAGATGATATGAAGCTGGAAGGGGTTGCAACTGCTTTAGAGGATAGGGTCATAATTCAAAATGATCTGGACAAACTGAAATGGTCTGAGGTAAACAGGATGAAATTTAATAAGGACAAATGCAAAATGCTCCACTTAGGAAGGAACAATCAGTTTCACACACACAGAATGGGAAGTGACTGTCTAGGAAGGAGTCCTGCAGAAAGAGATCTAGGGGTCATAGTGGACCACAAGCTAAGTATGAGTCAACAGTGTGACGCTGTTGCAAAAAAAGAAAACATGATTCTGGGATGCATTCACAGGGGTGTTGTGAGCAAAACAAGAGAAGTCATTCTTCCCCTCTACTCAGAACTGATTAGGCCTCAATTGGAGGGTTGTGTCCAGTTCTAGGTACCACGTTTCAGGGAAGATGTGGAGAAATTGGAGAAGGTCCAGAGAAGAGCAACAAGAATGATTAAAGGTCTAGATAATATGACCTATGAAGGAAGACTGAAAGAACTGGGCCTGTTTTGTTTGGAAAGGAGAAGATGGAAAGGGGACATGATTGCGGTTTTCAAGTATCTAAAAGGGTGTCACAAAGAAGAGGGAGAAAAATTGTTCTCCTTGGCCTCTGAGGACAGGACAAGCAGCAATGGGCTTAAATTCCAGCCAGGGCGGTTTAAGTTGGACATTAGGAAAAACTTCCTACCTGTCAGGGTGGTTAAACACTGGAATTAATTGCCTGGAGAGGTTGTAGAATCTCCCTCACTGGAGAGATTTCAGAGCAGGTTGAACAGACACCTGTCAGGGATGGTCTAGATGGAACTGGGTCCTGCCATGAGGGCAGGGGACTGAACTCGATGACCTCTCAAGGCCTCTTCTAGTGTACTACGATTCTATGATTCAATGGGGCTTGCGGCCCCCCCTCCCTAGTCTTGCTGCCGGAGCAGACAGGCTGACAACTATTTTAATTGGCCCTACCCGTCCACGCTGGGGTGAAAAATTTGGAAAGCAGCACCCCAGCCCAGCCGGGATCCCTTTGAACGTGAACTTTTGGTTGTGTCCTACCCGGATACATTGTGCTCTTGGGTTTGTTGACACAGGCAGTGCAGTTCGGCGCCCCCCCTCCCTAGTCTTGCTGCCGGAGCAGACAGGCTGACAACTATTTTAATTGGCCCTACCCGTCCACGCTGGGGTGAAAAATTTGGAAAGCAGCACCCCAGCCCAGCCGGGATCCCTTTGAACGTGAACTTTTGGTTGTGTCCTACCCGGATACATTGTGCTCTTGGGTTTGTTGACACAGGCAGTGCAGTTCGGCCAAAGTTTTCATCTTGATCCTACATCCCCTGCTCTTAACCCCAGCAGTGAAAATGAGAAGGCTTATCCCGCTGCACATGTAGACATGCACTGCGCCTAGATAATAATTAATTGGGAGGATTTTGGGTTTTTAATCTGACACATGTTTTCATAGTGTGTTTAACAAATGCCTCCCCTGGCTCAGGAAGTTTGTCATGGGATGCAAAGGCTTTCACAGGATTTATTGTTAATTATTGGCACAGTAGACGGGCGTGGGACCATTCGAACGCACGCCATGAGAGAAGACAAGCTTGGGAATAGAAGTATTTTCAAATGGCATTCTGTGCCCCACGCTGCTCACAAAAATGACAAAAAATAGCTTTCAACAAAATGTCACTTGGCAGAGTTTGGCTTTTCAGCAAAAAAAAAGGCAAATTCTACAAGTTTTTGAATCTGAAATGCTGAATCTGTGGTGCTTCATGGGAGGTGTAGTTTGGATGCCTCATGCTCTCATTCTTCTCCATAAGCTGGGCTCACCAGTCAGACGACACCTCCCATGGGTCAGCATGGTTCCATCCTGGGAGCCCCTGGCAATGGTGTATCATGGAAGACATAGTCCAACTGGGGGAACCGTAGAAGAAAACTGATCTTGCTAGTTCTGCTTCTTCACTTCCATGAAGTGCTTCCACTGACTATCCAAATCAGAATATTCTGGGTTTGGGGTGTCTTAGTCAAAAATTAAAGTTTCCTATGGAAAGCAGACACTTGTCCTGAAAACGTTAATTTTGTCAAAAATCCAGGTCTCTCTCAAAAATAGTTTTGATAGAAACTTTCTGATCTTGGCACCCCAACTGTAGCAGGTGCAGAGAGAGGAAGGGAGGCAGCAACGGTATTATACATCACCGGGCTCTGTCCCAAATCATGCTGCCATCAGTTGAGGGGGGGCAGACCAACCCCCACCTGTCCTGATTCGAGCTGAGATCCCTTTTTGGTTCTCCCGTTGAGTCTAGAGCCAAGCGAATCAACTGGCTTGTTTCATATTTCTGGGGCAAAACACCCGACTCACTTCATTGGCCGGTTGGTGATCTGCAGGCATCGGGGTACGTGGGAGGTCCTACCGATGGACTTTCAGATGCTCCATCTATCACCATAGTGAAGGGGTTTCTCGGGAGGCCGAGCCTGGCTTTAGTTTCTGCAGGGACTCACAGAACAGACGGGCCTTCCTGTCTTCAGGAGGAAGAGAACAAGTGGCAGGCTACACAGCGAGACGGATTCGAGTGGTCTATCTGGCGTGAGGTTTCTAGGCTTTTGCCTGCTTTAGTGTGTGTGCTCCCAGCAATGAGATGATACGTTTGACCCCAACGGCCATCTCATTCCATTGCTTGTGCCCTGATGTTCCTTTCCCAGCCACTCAGTCCTCTTGGATTCGTTTATTACATGGAGGCTTTGGACCCTCTGCCTCAGTTACTTCCCCAAGCGCCATCCCAGCTGGGAGGAGTCCAGCCCTGGCTGCAGATAAAGAAGTGCTACTCAGTGCGAAGAGGGAGAATACAGAGCGTCACGGCAGAGGGAGATTTCAAAGGGCGCTTATTGAGTGCACCTGAAATATGCAGCAGGGCTTCCAATGAGAACAGCAGAATGAACTCTTCAGAGCTGCCTCGCCAGCCTTCTCTGGCATCCTTTGTGCTTTCATGAAAAGGAAAAATCCCATTAAGCTTTCCCCTTTGTAGTCAGACATCAGCTGAGAATCAGCAAACGTTACCTTTTCTGCCCACTCCGCCCCAACTCTTAGGCCGTAACCAGCAAGAACCTCAGTGCACTGATCCTGCGGTTCACGGGGCGAACCATTTGTACAGTCACCTGTGCTGGCTGGCGCTATACTCCTACCGCCTGGCGTGCTGCCCTCCACCCCCATAGGGAGCAGGGAGCTGCAGGAGAGATTTTTATTGTCATGTCTCTCTGGCTGTGGCAGCATCTTGCCTCCAATAAAGCAAGAAGCTGCCAATAGTAGCTCCTTCGGCAGTGCCTGTTCGCTGCAGTTTCTCCTCAGTCTGACATTAGCACTTGCTTCTAGCCCAGATCTCTGTAATAGGAATGTCCCCACGGAGACAACGTTACTGGTTTCCTTTCCCTTGCTCTGTTGTCATTCTGTTTTAGCGCAGGATGTCACATAACGAGCCTGTGAAATGACGGCCTCGTTGGGGACCCCCGTGCTAAAAGAATCGCTCGCCAGTGCTTCTGAGCTAGGGGAGTCACTCTCTTACTGAAAGCTTTAGTACGCTTTGAATCTGTTAGGTGAATCAGCCACCACAGGTCGAACCTCTCTCAGCCGGCACCCTGGGACCTGACCAGTGCCGAACCAGAGAATTTGCTGGACCACAGGAGGTCAATATTATCTAGCAGCATCACCAGAACTGCCACTGCTTGCTGGGCTCTGAGACGACAATTACGGGTAAACTGGAGCTAAATAACAGCCCAGAACACTGAGAGCCAGGACTGGGGGCTATAAACAAACTTTATGGGATAGTGGGAAACTTGGCCACACCCATGCTAAGTGGACATCCGACTAACTCAAATCATGCCGGACCAGGGATGTTGCCAGACCAGCGAGGGCTGGATTAGAGAGGTCCAAGCTGTAGAGGCAGACAAAGTGACATATTGCTAATCTGAGTTGCTGTAGCCGGTAGCTACCCTCATGGATTGGTATCAATTGTATCTCTCCTTTCCCCTGTGAATCCGTGTGCACTGGCCCCCTGCGGTCTGTGTGCCATATGATTACCAGCACCACGGAGCAGCACAAATGGCACATTGGTAAGAGGCTGTGTCACAGGGCAGAAGCGTCCTTGCTGAGTGATGCAGCTGCATTTTCCCGGAGGGGAGAGAAACTGGGAGAGGCGAACGAGCGCCTGTTTCATTCTAGACAGGCCATTTGGCCGTGGTGCACAGTCCTTGTGCTGGCTTGCTGCCGGAGGTGAATTTGCCGCAGTCCCCCTCGGGGCCTGGGACAGGAGCAGCAGTGGCCAGTGAAAAGGGATAAATACCTCCCGTGCGGTGGGTTTGTGCGTGGCTGTGGGCAAGTGACACTTGCAGCCAGGGTGGGAGGGACGTGGGCGTTGCCAAGGGAGCCCTTTGGGGCGGAAAAGAATTTTGCTTGACGAGAGGGTGGAAGCAGCTGCAGGGTTGTAACACCTTCGCCTACGGCAGGGGGGACCTACGGCCCGGGACCAGGATGTGGGCCCCAGCTTGCCTGGATCTGGCCCCTGAGGCTCGG